CTCCAAGAGCACTCCCAAGAGGATCCTTAGAGACCAAATTCGCTACATTCCTGTAGGCGAAACGTACATTGTAAGCATGTACGATTTTGGGATTCTCACGGCTTTGAAGACGGCCCAAGAGGCCCCCAAGACATCCCCAAGCGAACCGAAGACGCTCCCAAGAGGCGCCCAAGATAGCCAAAATGGCGCCAAGACGGCCCAAGGGACGACTAAGACGGCTCCAGGAGGGGTTTAAGAGGGGAATTCCGACTCGAAAGTAGCAGCCGTCCGCCCAAAGAACCTCCCAGGAGGCCCCAAAAGTCCCCATGAGGACCCCCTCCGTGGCCATTTTGGCTCAAGGCGTGGCCCTGGCCACAAGCGTTGACATCCCGCCTGGCGCCGCCCCGTTGCACAGGCTCTGCCGGAGCTGTGCGCAGCCCCGCCCCACTTCGCTGGCACACGTGTGGCCCCGATGTGGCAGCCATGGACGGGCAGCGCGGCAGTATTGGCGGCCGCGGCCTTGATGTCCAGCCCGCTGCTCGGACTTGCAGCGGGTGGTGGCGGTGACCCCATCTTCGAGCTGAAGACCAAGAAGTTGGACAACGCCCAGTTCTGGATCATCCTGGCGGGGATGGTTTTCTACGGGCTACTCATCGATCGCGTTCAATACTTTACACAGCGGGCCGTCGAGAATTCGCGATGCAGCAAAATGATATTCGAGAGGACTGTCACGGAGTTCATGGTATTCGGCATCGTTGCCATTACCATCTTCGTAGGAACGAATCTGGATCCGCACCTCGACGAGAAGTATCCGTACTGCACCACGCACCTCACTTACGCTGACGTTCTAGTATCGTTCGCTGCCTGCTCTCTGATCGTGCTGGGCGCACTCTACTCGTGGATGCGGCACCGCACAGAGGAGCATCTGCAAGGATTTCAGGGGGACGAGCATAAGGACACTGTAATCCCGAGGATGGGAACCTGGAGACCGATGAACCTCAAGCAGCAGAGCGTATTCTTGGAGCGGAAGAACTTGACGACATTTTCGTTCAATTGGAACTTGTATTTTCAGGAGTCCCTCGCTCACCAAATCTGCGATCTCATCAACATTACTTGGGTTACATGGCTCGTCACGTTCATCGCCTTGCTCCCAATGGTAGTCTACAAGGGTTTTCTTGTTACAGACGCAGCCAAGACGGCAGCTTACATCAATGGATTTCTCTTCACGACCTGGTTTTTTCTTGTGCTCACTTTGGCTACTGTGATTCAGATTAGGCTTCTCCGTGGCAAGCTGTACGCGGCAGTGGACGGGTACCTCAAAGCGACCCTCGCAGATGAAGTGGACGAGGACAGCGAGGACGAGGACAACGATACCGATGATTTGGAGGTTGTTGACAAGAGCATGGAATGGTGGAGCGACTTCTTGGCGTGGCTCATGCAGTTCGAGTCTCTGTGCATATGTTTCATATTGGGCATGTACGTCATGCACCTCTCGTACAACCTGAAAGTTTATGGACACGATCTGAGCTACCCCGTGCTGTGGTACCACCTTGGCTTCCTGCTCCCGCTCCTCTTCTCCCTGGTGGTCTTGTTCCCCCTGGGCCTGGTGGAGCTCACGTCGATCCAGGCCTTCTCCGCGCCCGACCAGGAGGTGCTCCACACGATCGTCTCCGAGACCCGGCAGGCTCACACGGACCTCGTCTTCATCCAGAGCAAGATCATGAGTCTGGGATCTTCCAAGACGGAGGCGTCCCAGGAGAAGGCGAGGACGATATTGATCAACGCGAACGGCGGCGACGATACTGTGAAGAGGATGGACGTGATGGACCTCTTGGTCTCGATCGACGTCCACTTGACGAAGGAGCGCAGCTTGGCCGTCTTCGACCTGGTGGACCAGGAACACGAGGCCACCGGCGTCACGCGCAACAACACCGTGGCACTGAAGGTGAAGAATTGCCTCGAGGACGCGATTGACGTCCAGGTCCCCATCGACGACTTATTGGACAGCGCTGCCAGAGCCACGATGGACGGCAACCTGGGCAAGGCGGCGTGAGCCCCAAGGCCCCGCCCACCTCGATAACATCTTCGGCTCATCCTCAGTAAGACGTAGGTTTGCGGCTTGCTGCGCGACCTTGTTGGGCCACCACAGCTTGCGGCCAAATGGCTGGAGCCAAACAGCGAAGGAGAAGGAGGAGGAACAGTAGGAGGGGAGGTCCAGCTTGCACCAGGAGTGTATCGGTCTGCCCTCCTTTTCTCCTCGCGCAGCCTATTCATTTACCATCAATCGTGTCAAGTATTATTCGCGGGAGCCACTCCATGTGCGCTCGGCCGATGCTGTGCCAGCTTGGCCGGCCCAGAGCTTGTCAGCAGAGGAGGTTTGCCCATTCGTGGCGCCGCGTCTTCCTTGCGAGCACGACTCGCGCACCCAACCCATCGTGCTCATGGAGTGTGTTTGCCCCCCCTGCGTCTGGCCAGAAGGAGGAGAAGATCGAACGAGGAGAAGGAAAAACATATTGTGTGCTTGTATGGACGGAGGGATGGGCACATGCTGGCAGCGAGGCTGGCTGGTGCACCCATCTATTCGGTCAACTTTTTGCGTAGGGCACTTCGTTCCTATCGTAATCCTTTGGCCTCCAGGGTTGTGCGCGGCCCGCACCGCCTTGGAGTTTTTGTTGGCCCCGCACGCCTGTGATGGGTGGTTGCCTTGCTGGGGTTTCCTGCGGCGCGGGGCCCTTCAAATTTTGGCAGCGTTCTTCCTCGAGAGGGCTCCTCGGTTAGAGTCGGCAGCGGCAGACGCCGCCGCCGCCCGAAGGCCATGCAAAGAGGTTCCATTGTGGGCACGGAGTTTGGGACGTTCTCTCCGCATTGTTCGCATTTGTTTACTTTCCCTACGGGCCCAAGAATTGAACACAGCCTGGAGACCACTTGCTCGATGCGAGTGCGAACAGGCATCCTCGATGTGTGTGCGAATTGATTTAATAATGCGCTGTGCCGCCCCGGAAGGCGACATCATCTTCCAAGAGACCCGAGGAAGCGAAATTGGTTTGCCGTCTTTGAGACAAGGGGAAAAAAAAGTCCCCAAGAGGACCCAAGAGGTCCCCAAGAGACCCCCAAGAGGCCCAAACAAGGGCCCAAGATGGTTCAAAACGGATAGGACGGCCTCCAAGAGGTCTCCCAAAGGGGTCCAGCAAGGTCTTCTTGCGGATCCGAACATACACAGCTATACGACGACGACGACGACGACGATCTCTTGGCCCATTCTTAGGTCGCTGCGGAATGGCCTCAGGCGGTCTTGGAAGTCACTTGAGCCGTTGGCGTAGTTCTGGGGCTCCCCAGAGGGATTGGTCACAAAATATAGGTCTTCAAAGTTCGACCGTGAAGCCTAGCTAGAACCTAAGCGCGCGCGAAGCGCGCGCGTAGTTCTAGTACATATATATATATTTACAGTGTATACGCAGGCAAGTACATACGTAGTGTGTATATTAATACATACAACGATAGCGCCTTCCCGGTCCGGGGGCCGGACACTTCGCAACCATCTTCCAGAATTTTGTCGATGCACCTTCCCTTGGGCCCCTAGGAGGCTTGAGGCTGGTCCAGGAGGCCTCCCAGACAGCCTAAGAAGCCCCCAAGACGGCCTAAGGGAGGGCCAGCAGGACCCAAAGACGATCCAAGAGCGCTCCAAAAGGATCGCTCAAGATGACCTCAACACGGCCCAAGAAACCCCCCCCGCGTCCCAAGGGGCCCCCAGGAAACCCAGAAAGGATTTGGTCGTTGTCCCCTCTGATAGCTTCCGACGGCCCAAAGCAATACCAGACGCCTACCGGAGACCAAAAGAGAGTGTCAAGACGGCCCAAGAGGGCCCCTTGACGGCTCAAGAGGGCCTAAGACGGCCCAAGAAGCCCCGATTAATGTTCAAGAGTGCCCCGAGAGGGGCTCAAGAGGGGGAAGCCGAGGTGACATTTAGAGACCTTCAGGTGCCCCTGTAAGAGGCCCTTACGAGGCGCCAAGAGGTTCCCAAGAGGTTCAGAAGAGAGGAGCCCCAAGAGGCCCCCAAGAGCCCCAAAGGGGCTTCAGAACGGTTTCAAAGAAGCATCCAAGAGGCGTCCAGTGCGCCTCCTGCTCCTCCGTCCCTCGCTCTTCAGTGCCCTTTCTCTCTTTCTGTCTTCATGGGCTTCCTCCTTTTGCCGTTCCACATATTTCTAATTCACTCTTTACTCCCACGCCCCGCTTCCCGCCGAACTAATAAGTGGAAGGCGGCCCCAACTCGGCAAATCACCCGATACGTACCCACGCAAGACAAATCTTCACAAGAAACATATCCATACACAAGAGCACGTTTCGAGATGTGCAGCCGTTGGGAGTGCTTCGCCGAACACTGTCGGGCCACGCGCGTCGCGCGCCTGCGCAGGGGTGGGCTACCGAGGACAGCGTCGTGCGCTACGTGACGGTCCGCCGTTCTGTGATGCAGCAGCGTCGTGCCTAAGTGACGCGACGGCGCCACTCGCCATGCGGGCACGCGCCACGTGGGCGCCCTGCACTCCGCTGCGCCTCCCAGGAACCCACGTGAGCCATGTGCTCCACCTTCCTCGCATTACCTTGCTTACGATTCCGCCCGCGCTGCCTTCCTCTCGATTTGCCTTCCTCGCACTACGGTGTGGGCGTTGGTTAAGGAATGTGCCCAAGAGGCGTCAGACCCTGGAGGGTTCCTTACCTGATGAGGGCGGCAGTGATATCCGTGGCCAATGCACGCTTGGCTTTCGACTGGCCTCAAGACCCTGGATGCCTTATCTAAAGGTGCCTTCTCCACTGCCCCCACCGTACCCACCCTGGCACTGCCTTCCCTCGCGCTCCTGCACCCCCACCCCGCGCTGCCCCCCTCTCGATGCCTCCTCCTCCTCCTCCTCCTCCTCCTCCTCCTCCTCCTCCTGCTCCACCTCCTCCTCCTCCTCCTCCGCCTCCTCCTCCCTCCTCGTCCTCCCCCCCCCCTCCTCCTCCTGCTCCTGCCGCTCGCCGCGCAGGCGCGGCCCAGCGAGCGGCACCCCGGCGCGGACGCCTCCTCCCGGCCCGGCGGCGGGCCCCCGCCCGCGGAGAGGGCCTCGCCGAGGCCTGCGCCGCGGCCCTCTCGCCTGCGGCCCTCGCCGCGGCAGCCCTGACTCCAGATCCGCCCTACTTTAGGTTTTTTTCCAACTTGAAATTGCGTCGGAAATCCAGCTATAAGAAGCCGAAAAAGTAGGGCGGGAATGTCTGCACCCAGCATAAAATAGGGCGAAAATCCACAGAAGCAGGGCGGAAACAACAACAGAAAAGTAGGGCGGAAATTGGCATCAGCGGGGCTTGAAAAGTAAGGCGGAAATTGCAAGCCCTACTTACGAATTTCCCCAAAGTAGGGCGGATCCGGAGTCAGGGCGGTCTGTTTTTTAGGCGCCCTCCTGCTTTAGACCCTGTTCTTTTTCGTCTAGGCGAGAACCCAGAGATCCATCGTATTGAAACAATCAAGACGCAGTTTTTTTTGTTTCTCCAATTTTCGGCCTCAAGAGGCCCTCGCCGGGCCCCGGGACCGTCAAAAAACGACTCAGGATGAAAAATTGGTCCTGGGGAATGGGTCGAGACCTCCGGGAACCCCGTATTGAAAAAATCAAGACGTCGGATCTCTGGGAACGCTCTCGATCGCCCTCGCCCCTCCCGCCCACCCGCCCCCGATCACGTCACGCTGTTTTCCCCACGTGTCTCAAGGAAGCTTCCAGGGGTTCCAGAGAATCTCAAGGGTTTCCCAGGAAGTCGTCGTCGTCGTCGTAATACAAGTCGAGCGGTGTTCCCTTCTCCCTTCTCCCGGTCTGCTTTTGAGGCGCCATCCTACTTTTCATGGCGCCAACATCGCAGAGCGAATCTCGTTCGGAAAACGATAATGATGGGATGAGCCCGAAGTGTCCTGGAGACTTTCGTTCCAGATTTCGAGGTGCATTGCGTGCGTTTTTTTTTTGTGGGGGGGGGTCAGGAATGAAGACTTCAAATACATCCACGCGAAATTCACTTCGTCTTTCACTCGCCGTCTCGATGTTTTTCATTGACTGTAATCCACGCAAAAATCCGATGCAGCACATCTGCAAGGGTGGCGCGCCGACTCGCTGCGGCAGAGGCGACGAACTCCCGAGTCCCAGTCTGTTTTTTAGGCGCCTTCCTACTCTACGAGTCGAGCGGCGTTCCCTTCTTCGCAGGCCTAGAGGTTGACACCAACACCAATATCGGCGGTGTGCCTTCACCGAGGGAAGAAGATCCCGATCTCGGCGATGGTGGTAATACTCTGGCTTCCAGGGCGACCGAAGTAGTACCAACGACGCCGAAATCCAGAATCACCTTCCCCCTGTGGAGGCACCCCCCTGTCTTGGTGTTGGTGCCCATGCCCAGGCCTCCGACTTCCTGCGTTACGAGTCGGGCGGTGTTCCCGTCTCCCTCGTCTTCAGGGGGGCGGGCGGAAGCCCAGCGTACTTCCAGGAGGGGACAGGACACACCGACACGATTCACCGTCGATCCCCCAGAAGATGTGGGAAAACGCGGGAAGTGGTGGGGGGAAGACAGAACCACGAACATAGGGGAAACCATGGGGAATCTTTTTTTTATGTGTGTGTATTTCTTTTGTTTGTCCCTGGGCCCATGGGGGGAGGAGGAGGAGGAGGAGGAGGAGGAGGAGGAGGGAGGAGGAGGAGGAGGAGGAGGAGGAGGAGGAGGAGGAGGAGGAGGAGGAGGGGGAGGAGGGGAAACCATGGGGAATCCTTTTGTGTGTATTTCTCTGTGTGTCCCTGGGCCCCTTCGCACTCCTCGGCGGCTTCCTGCTTCGGTGTCTCTGCTCGCCGCCTCGGGCCGACGGGTAGAGGCGCACGGCCCGTGCCACTGGGGGGGGGAGCAGCACGTGCACTATCCAGGGTGAAGTCGGGCCCGTCCCTCCACGGGGGGAGTATCCAAAGATAGTCAAAACATCGTCGGGGGACTATTTTTGGAGCATTTTTGTTGCCATGTTGGAGCATTTTTTGCGTATGTTTTATTTTCCGTCGACAATGCCCCTGTAGGGGGACACGCCCGACGTAAATCCAGGGGCGCCGACGGTCCGTGGCTTCGGCGAGGCCCCCGGCGAAGACGCCCGCCCCCGGACTCCTCGCCCTCGCCGCCGCCGCCGGGTGCGGCCCCCTTCTCGATCCGCCTCCGACCCTCCTCCTGCCCAGACGTCGGGCGTCTCGAGAACATCGCGGCGGAGGTGTCTCGTGGCTTTCGGCGCCGGGCCCCGGGGCCGTCAAGAAACGACCCCGGACGAGAAACCGGTCCAGGGGGAGTTGTCGGGAGGTCAGGGGCCCGTGTCTCGAAGACATCGAGACGTCGGATGTCTGGGTTCGGCCCTCGTCATGGAGCAAACGTCGGGGGAGGAACATGCACCGACGCCGCGGTCCTTCCCTCGTCGCCACGGCTGGAGTCGGCCCGGGAGCTTGGTCGGGGCGCAGATGCAGGAGAGCTCCGTGGAGCAGCGGCGTGGGCATCTTTCCGTTGCCCCCAGAACGGGTCCCGAGGGACTACCATATATAGGAGAGGGAGGAGAGGGAGGAGGAGGAGGAGGAGGAGGAGGGAGGAGGAGGAGGAGGAGGAGGAGGAGGAGGATCTCGGGGCCCTCCCAGGGCCCCCACCGGGGCTGTCCGAGAACGCGGCTCCGGATGACGAGCTGGCCCTGGGGGACTGGCCCTTGGGCACGGGCCCCTGGTCCAGCAGGACCCGCCTGCTTCGTGCCGAAGCCCTCCTCCGGTTTCTCCCCCCTTGGTCTGATGGGCAAGCTTTCCACCACCACGAACACATGCAGGACGGGGGAGAAGGGAGGCTGAGGAGGTCCTGCTCCTCCTCCTCCTCCTCCTCCTCCTCCTCCTCTTCCTCCTCCTCCTCCTCCTCCTCCTCCTCCTCCTCGTCCTCCCTCTCCTACCTATGGTAGTGATGGTGGGAAATGGGCCCATCATGATCCTAGTTCGGCGGATTCGTTTGATTTTGTTTCGGCTGTATGGGGACTTCTTGAGGCTCCTATTTCCTATTACATCTGTATAGGCAACTTTGGCAAGAGAAAGGGACGCAGGAACCGAACACAATGCCCCTTCGACCCCTCACGACTCCACAATTTCTTTGCCACTTGTGCCCATTCCACAAGGGCTCCGACCTTCCCCCGATCGAGCTCCTCCTCGACCTCACTCTTCGATCGTACCAGTCAGTCCTCCTCGTTCTCCTCCTCGTCGTCCATCTTCTACTTCTGCTTTTCCCACCTGTGTCGGCCACAGTGAGATACAAGGAGCTGGTCGCACTACACGTACTGCCCCATGTGCCGCCGAGGTCACTCACCCAGAATACCCCGCTGACGATCGGCTGGTAGAGCGACCTCAGCACGCCCTTCTCACTGATGGCATCTCGGTGGTGTCTGCTTGCGCACGGCTGGGGCATCGCATGGGGACGCGCTGGCGGCAGGAGCTTCAGGATTGGCGCGAGATAGTCCAAGACGAGATATTGGCGAAAGATCTCGTGCAGGGCCTGCTGGTGTCCTGCTGGTGGGAAGGCCCCCGCGCCGTCGCCCAGCACGTCGTCGACGCCCTCGACCCGAAGCTGCCCGAGTCGCGTCGCCGCCAGCAAGCCTCGCTGGATCTGGGCGTGGGGAGCGTCCGTCACCGCCGGATCACTCCTCGCGGCCCTGAGCGTCGCCCCGACGGGCTCCGCCACTGCCCGAAGAGGGGGACTGCGTGCTCCTGTCAGGCCCGGGTGCGCTCCCGCTCTGCTGCCCTGCTTTCTCAGGCTCGGCATCGCTCGGACGTGTGCATTTTTCTTTCGGCGAGGACCATCGAGGAGCATCCTTGATCATTTGGCGAAAAAGCCACACGAAACCGAACAAAAACACAGGAAATGGACGTCCGAGCGATGGCCAGGAGGGGACGTGGTTGCTCCGAGTTTCCCACTGAGCGTCGGGGCGGCGTCACCCCCGCCGACAGCCCCACATCGACCCCCGTCGCGGGCAGCCGCCGCGCGCCGAAGGCGCTCCGCCTCGGCGCGACGACGAGGCGAGGTTGACCCCCGTCGGCGGGGTAACCCCCCCGCGCTTCTCGAGAAACCCAGAGTGCGCATCGGGCTCAGACGCAGATCTGCGCTCCTGGGGACCCCAAGGGGCCAGGAGTCGCACCTCTTGAGGAGCAGGCGGCTCTGCCTGCGCGCGCCTCTTGCTGCCAGCTGGCGGCGGACGAAAGGGGGGCGGCGGTCCCAGCTCTCGCGGGCGCGTGGCCCCCGGCGGCCCCTGTCTCGGGAGGCCAGGGTCGAGCCGCGAGCTGTCGAGCGTGAGCATGGAGCTCCATGCTCACGCGAGCCATATGGGTGCCTGGGAGCAATGATTCGCGACCGAATGCGGCCGCCATCTGCGCGCACGACCACGCGGCAAGTGCTTGCGCTTGGCGGGGGCAGGCAGTGGCACCCCTGTCAGGGCGGTCGCGCGCAGGATTTGCTCCTTTCCTATGGCCGCCTGGCGATGGTGTGTATGTTGGGGCCCCGCATGGAGCAGACGAGTTCAAACATCATCGGGGCTCAAGGGACCAGGGTCGATGCAAACAGGGGTCGGCCAGGGCGCCGGATCTTGCAGGATCCCGCAGTGGTGCCAGGGTCGCGATTGACCCGTGTTCGGGTGCAGGGTCCTGCAGGATCTTGCAAAGCCCGACGGACCAGGGCTTGGATTGACCCGGGTCAGCAGATCCTTGGCAGTATCGTTCGCGCAGTCGCGCGTGGTGGGTTGTCTGTCATCTGCTTCCGTTTGCCTCCGCCTTTCGCTAACACGTCTAGGTCTTGGCTCCCCCAATGTCCATGTTTTACAACAGTAGTGGAGATGTTCATATCTAAGCTAGCTCTGCCTAGCAGCCGGTAGCCATGCAAACTCAGGCCTTGAGCACCTGCTGCGCTGCCTCTCACTCGCGCTCTCGTGCTGTAGGGTATTAGACCAGCACACGTCGTTGGGCACAATCGTTTCGCCTCCTCCTCCTCCTCCTCCTCCTCCTCCTCCTCCTCCTCCTCCTCCCCCCGCTCCTCCTCCTCCTCCTCCTCGTCCTCCTC